TCATGTCTTAACAAACAGGGATTGTTCACCTTTGAATAGACTAACAGGTTTACAGAAACCAGTTTAGGGGAGATCAGTGTAGGGGCAATGAAATGGGCTAGTCTGCAATGTAGGTTCACCTTGTGATGTGAACACCACAGCCATGCAAAACCCCCATTGTCACCCACTCTCCTACTGTCAGAGTGAGGTGTAAATTGCATACGCACCTGTGACTTTTCTTTCTTTCCTCGTTTTTCCAATTTGCTACAGCTGCACCTGTTGTCCATTGGGCCAGTGTTCTTTGTCACAATGAATAATCCTGACACACCTTTCTAGAAATTCAAAACTTTAACTGCACGGGTTCTTAGTTTTTAAGAGTAAGGAAATACCAAACTTGGTTTCCGTATGTTACATTACTAGCCCTAGAAACAAGTGCCAACTCTGGGTCCTTTACTGTCTGTCCTTCAGAACTTAAGTTGCCCATCACTGATATGGAGCATGTTAACTCTTTCCTTTTTTGCTGTTACTCTTTTTGTTCTTTGCAGTAATCTCACAGGGTTATAAATCTCCACTCATCCCGTGAAGAGCAATAGAGTGATTGAAGTTGGCTTAATTTTAGCTTTTTGCCTTTTCATCTTATTGAAGTTGGGGTTAAATTTTAACCTCTAGACATAAATAGGCAATCAATATATTGTCTAGTTTTAGACAAAGTACTCAAATCAGCCAAGGATGTTCTGGATTGCTCTTAGCCAGTGAAAAGGCACTCCTGATTACCAACATTAAAAACATTGGATTTTCTTTTGTCATGCTGCTATTTTATATCTAAATAGGGTTTCTGCTATCTGAACTCAGGTTTTATGTTCATTTATTCGGCTTGGAAATGGCAAGAGTAAGTGTCTTGGTTACATGTTAATGTTTCTAGTTGTCCCATCTTACTCCATTTAAATAAAATCCCAAATTATGTTAAAAATTGAGGAGTGAAAGAAAAAGGGAGAATCCGAATTTATATTTAAATTATCTTCTATCCATAAAGCTTTTCTTCAGAGATGCTTGCTACATTCTTTAAAACAGGCAGAATTAGAGGTCAAAAGCAGCCCAGGGACCAGACAGACCACAGGGTTAGACACCAAGAGCCTCAGTTGCCAGTTCCAGCTGTCACTGACCATCTCTGAGATTAGGGAAACCCACTTTATTTCTCAGGGTCTCCTTGTGCTAATCCATTTCATGGGTGGGGACTGGGAAAGATGACAGAGGTTGAGCTAGCCATCTTTCACATGCGTTCCATCTAAAATTTTCAGTGAGATGATTTCCAGGAAACCTGCCCCGTTGCCTTTCTCAATGGCTTGGGTGCTATAGCTCATACAATGTACTTTAGGAATGCGTATGAGCGTGGCCTATTTCCAACCATAAAGGACCATGCACGCGCAGTGTGCATATGACCCAAATTCCTGGAGTCCTGGTTCCTGGGGGCTGCTTCCCCAAACTGAGGGAAAGTACCCTTCTTTGTTTGCAGGTAATCCTCCCTGACCTGGCGGTCTTGAGAATAGCAGTGTATGATGACAACAACAAGCTCATCGGCCAGAGGATTCTCCCGCTGGACGGCCTCCAAGCCGGCTATCGGCACATTTCCCTCCGAAACGAGGGCAATAAACCATTATCACTGCCAACAATTTTCTGCAATATTGTTCTTAAAACATATGTGCCTGATGGATTTGGAGGTAAGTTCAACATTTGTGTACAGAGTATGATGTATATATAATACCTATGGTTCTAAATTACAAGACTATAAAATATTTTACCAGTGGCTGAAAAAAAACCTGTTCCTCCAGTGCTGCTGACCCTCAATAGCCTCAGAGAAACCAAGGTCACTGGCAGCCTTGGGGCTCATCCTAAGAAATGAAAGGGAAAGGTTAGATTATTTTTAAGGTTCTTTCTTATTTACAAATACTGTGATTTTATGTTGTGTATCAGTTTTTTCAAATATGTTTGTAAAGGATATGCTTCACACTATCATTCAAAGGCGGGGAAAGACATAATATGGAATCATTGATATTAACTGATGTCATTAAAAGATTTAAATAGAACTCAACTATCATCGTGCCTGGATTTTCTTCCAAATCCACAAAAAATTCAATTCCCCCCCCCAAAATCCTGGTCATTCATCCACAGAAGACCACCTTGGTTTTGCTAAGGTAATCTGTGGGAGGACCAAGTCATAGGATTTTTGCTTGAACATAAACCTATTAACTTTTTATAGTCCCCAACTAAGCCAAGAACATTAAATAAAAACAGATTTTCAGTATTCTCAGGGTCTGTTTAAGCATAGGGACACAGTACAGCAGAGTGACTGCATAACCAGCAATTCAAGTGCTGACCCTACTACTGTCCCAGTGACCTCAGGAGTGAAGAAACTAATACTGCCTGCCTCATAGCATTCTTGTAAGGTGCTCATCATTGCAGTGTTTGCCATAGTCAGGCTCAAAATTGTGTGTCTGTTCATATGTGTAGCTGTAGATACAGCTGTGATTTCTATAATGCATTGCAACACATCACAGTCTGGTTTGGGGAATCGGGGGTTATTTGCTGTTTGTTTGTAATAATGCAAGCTGCTCTGAAGGGCAGATTTTCAGCAACTTGTCGTCAACTTGAACAGCTTGATTCCTGGTTCAAAGAGCCATAAGGAGTTTTCAGTCACAAAATCCAGAGTAAAGAATCCTTCCTTCCTCCTTCCCCTGTGTTTTTCATTAAAAAGAAAACAAAACAAAAAAAAGAAGCCTATTAGAAGCTAGTATATACAGTATACTAGCTGAGAGCCAGTATATACTAGTATATACTATATACTAATATTCAGTACTAGAATATACACTGAGGACATGTAGCAGGTATGTACATCAGGAATGTACAGTAGCAGATGTAAGACATAAAAAAGGCTGGGAGAGGGTGCGGTGGGCCAGGTAAGTGGGTCAGAAAAGGAACAAGAGTCCTATAGTGTGTATGTAGAAGCATGTGATGGTCACAGGGCATCATGAACTAAATGATGTCTCACATACTTGAGCTTGGAAGGTAGGCAGTGTGTAATACCTCATGCGTTTTAGAAATAGCCACATAAACAAATATGGTTGAAGACTTACAAGTTTTGCCTCTGTATGGGTTACTTTGCAAATGAAACTTGATGATTCATTCCAGGAAAATGGGCCACTTGACTAGAAAAGGGAAAGAAGAATTCATTTGAGTTCCTACTTTGTGTCAAGCACTTTATATAAATGGAGTCCAGGAATGTGAAATTGTTCAGAATGGTTGTGGACATATGGGATGTGCTGAAGAAATCTGTTTTATAATGTAACTTATTACCAGTGTCAATAATTATATTAGTATTGACCCAAATTAATCTCTTTAAAAACAGTCCTGCAGGTATTTTTCTAACATGTTACTGTAGTCACTTTTTATAGAAAACATTTGAAGTTTCAGTATTGTAATGGGATTCTACTAGTAATGTTCTAACCTCAGAGTTGATATTCAAAACTGCTCATTCAGAATTCTCTGCTCGTCACTTTTATATGTGCAGAAACTGAGGGCAGACATTATGAGGCTTAAGGATATTACCTGAAAATAACAAAATAAAAGGACTTTCTTTCCTAAATTTCTTATCTTTACAGCATCTTGATTTATACAATGTGTTTGTATTTTCACATTCAGATCTGAACACTTATGTGCTAAACCAGCATGTCAGGAAATGCGTTGAAACCCCATTCCCAAGAAAATTGAGTTTTCTGGTTGATTCAATAGGAAAAATTTCAAAATGAAAGTGTGTACCATCACACTCCAGCATTTTCTAGGGGGGAAAAAAAAAGGAAAGTTGTTGATATACATCATCATATTTTTATTTGGCTAAATAATATAACATAGATTAATTCATTGCACAAATGTGTTGAGCAAGCTTTATTCTGTAAAAGAATTAGAAACCTTTTATCCTGGTTCGCTTCCCCATTAGGGCACATGCCTGGATCGCAGGGTCAGTCCCCGGTCGGGCCCACGTGAGAGGCAACCAATCGATGTTTCTCTCTCACATCAGTATTTCTCTCCCTGCCTTTCTCCCTTCCTGCCCCACTTTGTAAAAAAAACATTTCAACATCTAAATAGAGTTTGATGCCATTTGGAGATCCAAAGACTGTCTCTTTCTTAACCCGATAGGATGCTATTTCACCGAGGCCACGTAGCAGGTATGTGCCTCAGGAACGCTGATTGGAGCCCCTTGGCTGACTGGCTGTCAGACGTTGTACGAACCTGCAAAACATTTTACACAACAGCGGTCCCTGCCTCATACACAAGCGTCAGATGAGCTCGGGAACAGTGCCCAACTATAGTCAACCTCATTCACTTTCTTCATTTTGATTTATTTGTAACAAGCTAAAAGAAAATCCATTGGTTATAACTTCTGCTCCTTAACTTTACCCTTTAGTTTGCTGCAGTAAATTCTTTTTTCCTTTTTATTTATTTATTTATTTAAATTGTTGTTCAAGTACAGTTTTCTGTCTTTTACTCCCATCCCAGCCCATCCCCCCAGTGTCCCCACCTCCCTCCCATTTCCAGCCCCCTTAGTTTTTGTCCATGTGTCCTTTATACTTGTTTCTGTAAACCCTATTCCTTTTCCCCTGGAATTCCTTCCCCTCTCCCCTCTGGTCACTGTCAGCCTGTTCTCTATTTCAGTGTCTTTGGTTATATTTTGCTTGCTTGTTTGTTTTGTTGTTTAGCTTCCTGTTAAAGGTGAGATCATATGGTATTTGTCTTTCACCACCTGGCTTATTTCACTCAGCATAACGCTTTCCAGTTCCATCCATGCTGTCCCAAAGGGTAGGAGCTCCTTCTTTCTTTCTGCCGCAGTAAATTCTTTTGTCATAGCAATTCACCATCCTAAGAAAAATGTCTTAACTTTGTGCTTACTAGAATTTGCAGAATTCTGATGCATTAGTAATATTACCATAAGGTCTGTAAGCACCAATAGCTTTATGTTCTGTGTGATATTTAAATGTATTTGAAATCACAGTAAAGTCAGATGAGTGGTTTCATTTTATAAAGATAAAACATATGTTCATAAAAGTTTTTTTTTAAGTTGAGACAATTCTGTAAGCAGGGTCTGGGTATTTACAGGACCTGCTGGTCATGTATTTATTAGGCGTCTGTGCCGATATGAGGGTTTTCATGAGGTCACCATATGATGGCGAATCCCTACTGATGAGATAACTTGGCACTTTTGCAATCGCCCATCATTATTTCTGCCCTCTGGCATATGGTGTTCTTTAGAACTCTCGGCCATCCCTGTTTCCTCCTGACATGAATTAGGTGGAGAGCCAATGTTTTCCACCCTGACCCACTCCACTTCCATCAGATCTGTTTTGTTTTCCCCCCTCAGGAAACAGAGGCAGGGGGGTTTAGTGCAGTGCTTCTTTTCATTAACATGCTATAAAAACTCCCAAGGCGCATGAAGAAATGACAGAGCCACGGGCTACTAGAGCTTCTGAACAGCAGTCCCCCCTACCCATGGTTTCAGTTACCCATGGTCAACCTTGATGCAAAATTGTTAAATGGAAAACTCCAGAAGTAAATGCTTCATAAGTGTTTAAACCCAGTCATTCTGAGTAGTGTGCTGAAGTTTTGCACAATCTCACCGTGTCCCACACAGGGCTCAGACCATCCCTCTGTCCGGCGTCTCCGCGCTGTGTTTGTGCTCCTCTGCCCTCTTGTCACTCAGTAGCCACCTCTGTTACCTGATCGACTGCTGCAGCACCACAGTGCTTGTGTTCAAATAACCCTTATTTTACTTAATAGTGGCCCCAAAGCACAAGGGTACTAACGTTGGCAAATCAGATATGCCAGAGAGAAGCCATAGAGTGCTTCCTTTAAGTGAGAAGCTCAGTAAAGTACAAGATATTTTGAGAGAGAGATTACATTCGTGTAACTTTAATTACCACATATTATTATAATTATTCCAGTTTATTATTAATTCATGTTATTCATCTTTTTCTGTGCCTAATTTATAAATTAAACTTTGTCATAGGTATGTATGTGTAGGAAAAAACATGGTGTATAGAGTTAACTACTATCCATGGTTTCAGGCATCCCCTGGGGGTCGTGGAACATACCCCCACAGATAAGGGGTGACTACTGTAGTTTTGTTTTTCTAAGCCACTTAGACATAAACTACCTCTGGGCTGAAGGGTGGAGATGAAGTCTGTTAACCATCAAAATTTTTCATGTCAAAAAATGGTCACATTCAGAAGAGAGATGACTAGGGATGAATCATCAAGCCTCAGTTTAATTATTTTCAATATTATTTTTCTACTGAACATGGAATTAAACAGCCTTCTTGTTTACCCTGACACTCATACGCAACGTGGAGTACTGGGTTGAACACTGAGGTAAAATCAAAAAGGAAAGCCAGGGGGCCTTGGCGTACTGGAGCCGTCTCCGCCGCATCACCTGCAGGTGCCAGCACCGCCTGCAGAGGCACTCCACTCCCAGCGGCCCTGTCATTGTCACCATTGTCACCATCACTGTCGGTGACGGTTCCAAAGCTGATGACAGTTAAATGAGGTTCAGTATTTTTCTTTTCCCACCCACTGTTACTTTTGATGGGTTTTGTCATTTGTATTTCTTTTATTATTACTGAGTGGGAGGGAGGGGAGCAAATAAAAGAGTTGAGTTGACGCTGTGCTTCAAGAACATAGGGGGCATCAGCATTCTATGTAAATGTCACTGCGAGCTGTGCTTCAGGAGCTCTTCGTTCCTTGAATGGTGCTGGTCGCTGTTTTCGTAACTGTAGATTTTGTCTCCTCTTCTGCAAGTCGGCTGTTATATAAGCAAAAATGAAATGGCCATTTGTCTTTGTGCAGCTCCCCTGTCTGCCTCCCTGTGACTAAGGATGCGCCCAGCGGGAAGGTGCGGGGTTCTTGTCCTGCCTTCTCAGCATCTTCACAGGGTGGCTTTCTAACCCCCTTACAAAGGTAGTTCGCCATTTCTTAACGTCAGATAGTTCCAGAGGAGGAACCTCCTAAATTAAAATGTCATTCCTGGGGAAACAACGCAGGATTTTCTGATACAATTAAAAGTTGTTTTGTCCTCTCCTTCACTGATGATAAAATGACTTATCCTCTCCATTAAATACTTGTTGAAAAATCGATTCACATACCAATGATATCCATTTTCATGGCTTCTGCTGAACTAAAGAAAATATTATTAAGCATGCCAGAAAAAAGCTTTCAGGATGGATGATGGTGAAATATATCAGGAATTGCTAGGCCAAGTGAATTGAAACAGACCTCTCATTGCATGGTTCCTTGAGATGCCCTGTGGAGCCCAAGGGGAGGGACACGTGAGCCCTTCTGGTTCCTGTTCAAGCACAGGATCCTTTTGCCACTGAGCACCTACTGTATCTTCTAGCATTCTGGGAAATGCAGTTTGGGGAGTGTTTAATCATTGGGTAGAAGCTAAAAGCTCATCCAAATTCATAGTTATGAGCTTCATTCGTCTTTATTAGCATTGCTTTGCAGCCAGTAGGGGAACATGTATTTCTCTGCTGCTTTTATCTCTTGAGGAGGTACAAAGAGTAGAGCGAGGAAAAGGAGGAAAGGAAGCTGGGCCAGGAGTGAGCACAAGGGGGAAGCGAGGTCCTAGGTGCCGCCACTAGGACACCCAGATCAAACTCCTTGAAAAGCAATGGCTCAACAGACCGACAAAGAAAAGCTGGAGTTCTCCTGAGAAGCCTGTACGTGTCTATAAGTTCATACTAAGGAATCTCTAACTTCTTTTTAGTCTTGGGAAGGTTATGAAGGATGGGCAGGAGAGAGGAAGGGGGGAAACTATCCATGTGGAAAGTGTTCACCAGAAAATGGCACTAAACGACAAAATAGATCATATTTTTAAAAAATCAAAATAAATAGAAGTTCCATTAAGTCTAGATGAAAGAAGCAAATGAGGAAAAGCAAATTGCTTTCTTTTTAAAAAATAAAAATTCCAGCCCTGACCGATGTGGCTCAGTTGGGCATCATCCCGCAAAATGAAAGTTTGCAGGTTCAATTCCCAGTCAGGGCACATGCCTGGGCTGCAGGTTTGGTCCCCAGTCAGGGTGCCTATGAGTGGCAACCAATCAATGTTTCTCTCTCACATCAATATTTCCCTCCCTTTCTTTCTCCTTCCCTTCCCTTCTCTAAAAATAACTAAATATAGTCTTTCTTTTTAAAAACGGAAAGAGAGAAAAAAAGGCTCCAGAGCTTTGCCATGGCCTCCAAGTATCTAGAAAATTTTAGTTCACCTTGCGCGTTCCCTGGAGTCAGAGAGGTTTGTGTGCACACATACCCCTCTGCCTGTTAGATGGTCGGTGTGGCTAGTCCCTAGACTGGCCTGTTTATGCATTAGTCAGTGTTACCAGAACTTAAAATTTGTTCTTGCCACAGTGGTGTGTGCTGTGTAGTATTGAACAAAATGGGATATAGCCAGCCACAATGTTCCCCTGATGTGAAGGGGAAAGCTCTGTGAAATGTCAGATTGGCACCAAAGGAAGATGCCAGGTTGACTTGAATATGCAAAACTTTGGCCATGAATATGCCAGATTTATTTAAGTTCTTCATAAAATCTTTTTGCAAGGAAAAAATAAATAACATTTTCAACTAGAGATATACAAGCATATAAAGATATGAGATATTTTAGGTACAGATTCTCCCATACATTATTTTACATGTGGATTGTAGGAAACCGGCTTGTTTTGGCCTGGCAGACGTGACTCAGCTCTGTATGGAAAACCTACAGAAGCGAAGTGGTGGACAGGAGCCTGACCTTCAAACTGAGTTTTCCCGTGGGAATCAGCCCTAGAAAATGCATACAGATTGTTACGGCTTGCTCTTGCTAAAACTCCATCACCCTGGTCTAAAACAACAAATGTGTATTGTCTATCTTCAAGGTAATATCCAAAGCTTGTGTGAATTTTCCCAGGGACAGAACTAATCAGCTTGCTGCCTTTCCCTTCTGCATGTTATTTTCATTTCCTTGACTGTATCTAAAATGTAGATAGTAATATTCTATATAATAGATAATAAATTCTTCTTTGATGGAAGACCCGAGAAAAACAATAAAAGCCTGTCTAGGCAGGGGTTGAGGTGCTCTCCCCTTGAGAGAATAGCCGTGCTGTTCAATTTTCTCTACAGGATTGCTGTAGCCTGTGTGTTTATTCTCATCTTCAGTCACAATAGGCGGCCTCTGCTGGCCAGAGAGCCAAACAGGGACTTGAACAGGGACTTGAACCCTGGACCCTCAGACACAGCAAACAACCCAGGGTTCCAATGCAGGAAAATAAAACCTCAAAATCTCTAACTGAAAAAATCTGTGGGGTTAAGGCAGCTGGAGAAACTCCCAGTCTTACAGGAGAGTTCGTTAGAGAGACCCACAGGGTCCTAGAACATACACAAAACCACCCACCCGGGAATCAGCACGAGAAGGGCCCAGTTTGCTTGTGGGTAGCAGCAGAAGTAACTGAAAGTGGACGGAGAGCTGAGCAAGCCACACTGTTCCCTCTTGGACCCCTCCCCCACACATAGCACCACAACACCGCAACATGGGTTGCCCTGCCTTAGTGAATACCTAAGGCTCCACCCCTTACTATGTAACAGGCAGGCCAAGACAAAAGAAGTGGCCCAAAATCAAAGCTCTAGAAAAAAAGTACAACTAAGCAACAAAGAGATATCAAATGCACAGTTCAAAATTGGTAATCAGGATTCTCACAGAAATGATTGAGTATGGTTGCAAAATAGAGGAAAAACTGAAGGCAATGGAAAGTGACATAAAGGAAAATGTATAGGGAACCAACAGTGGCGAGAAGGAAACCAGGACTCAAATCAGCTGTTTGGGCCAGAAGGAAGAAATAAACATTCAAGCAGAACAGTGTGAAGAAACAATTCAAGAAGTGAGAAGAGGCTTAGGAACCTCCATGACAACTTTAAATGTTCCAACATCCGAATCATAGGGGTGTCAGAAGGAGAGAGGAAGAGCAAGAGATTGAAAACTTATTTGAAAAAATAATGAAGGATTTCCCCAATTTAGCAAAGAAGATAGATTTCCAGGAAGTCCAGGAAGCTCAGACAGTTCCAATGAAGTTGGATCCAAGGAAGCACACACCAAGACACATCATAATTACATTACCCAAGATTAAAGAAAAGGAGAGAATGTTAAAAGCAGCAAAAGAAAAGGAGATAGTTACCTACAAAGGAGTGCCCATAAGACTGTCCATGGATTTCTCAAAAGAAAATTTGCAGGCAAGAAGGGGCTGGAAAGAAGTATTTCAGGTCATGAAAGGCAAGGACCTACATCCAAGATTACTCTATCCAGCAAAGCTATCATTTAGAATGGAAGGGCAGATAAAATGCTTCCCAGATAAGGTCCAAGTTAAAGGAGTTCATCATCACCAAGCCCTTATTATATGAAATGTTAAAGGGACTTATCTAAGAAAAGATCAAAACTACGAACAGTAAAATAATAACAAACTCACAACTACCAACAACCAAACCTAAAAAAAACTGACCAAACAACTAGAACAGGAACAAAATCACATGAAATGGAGATCACATGGAGGATTATCAGTGGGGAAGGGGAGAATGGCGGAAATGCTATAGGGAATAAGCATAGATGGTAGGTAGAAAATAGACAGGGTAAGGTTAAGAATAGTATAGGAAATGTAAAAGCCAAAGAACTTACATGTATGACTCATGGACATAAACTGTGGGGAGGGGGTGGAATGCGGGTGGGAGGGGGTGTGCAGGGCAGAGGCAAATAAAGGGGGGAAAATGGGACAACTGTAATAGCATAATCAATAAAACATATTTTTTAAAAAGCACCATAACACACTGCACCCTCTTTTTAAAAAATTTTATTGTTAAACTACAGTTGACAAGCAATATTATATTAGCTTCAAGTGTATAACCCCGTGACTTGATATTTATAAAACTTACAAAGTGATCACCCTGATAAATCTAGTAGCCATCTGACACCATACATCGTTACTACAATATTATTGACTATACTTCCTATGCTGCACTTTTTATCCCTGTGATTATTCTGTAACTACCAATTTGTACTTCTTAATCCCTTCACCTTTTTCACCAGTCCCCCAAAACCTCCCAGTCTGGCAACCATCAAAATGTTCTCCTATCTTTGTGTCTGTTTCTGTCCTCGTAGATTGTTTACTTTGTTCTTTACCCTTCACATATGAGTGAAATTACCTGACATTTGTTTTTCTCTGTCTGACCTATTTTACTCAGCAAAAAACCCTCTATGTTTATCCATGTTGTTGCAAATGGAAAGATTTCATTATTTTTTATGGCTGAGTATATTTTATAGTATACATAAAATATATATACTATACTATACTATATATTATATATAAATATTCTGTATATATACTTACTATATATAAATATATAGACTATATATTCATGTATATTGTATATATATATGAGTAAAGAAGCACAACTACTTCTTTATTCATGTATTGATGGACACTCCAGTTGCTTCCATATTTTGACTAATGTAAATAATGTTGCAATAAACATGGATGTATATGTCTTTTTGATTTAGTATTTTGGATTTCTTTGAATACATATCTAGAAGTGGAATTGCTGGGTCCTTCTTTGTCTCTTATTGCAGTATTTGTTTTAAATTTTATTTTGTCTGGTACAACTATTGCTATCACAGCTTTTTTTTCTGTTTCCAGTTTCATGAAATTTTTTTTCCATCCCTTTACCTTCAGTTGATGTGTGTCTTTTGATCTGAAGCGAGTCTCTTGTGGACAGCACATACCGGGT